TTCTTATAAAAAAAAAAAAAAAAAAAAAGATGCCAGCCTCCAAATCCTCAAACTGATTCCACCTGTGCCTTGATGATCTTACCACCATCGTTTCGCAACAGTGCTGCCTCCTGGCTGGGCGAGAGAAACACACACGTTGGCAACCCGCTAGCAACCGGTCCTCATGCTAACAAAAAAGACCAGTCACAACGAGCAAATTGCAAACTTTGGCCTAGTGGTTAAGGCGCCAAGCGAGAAACCAAAGGGCTGTGAATTCTAGTCCCGCCTTGGGCACGAAAGTCAGCTGGGTGTCCTTGGGCCAATCACACTGGGAAACAGAGTTCTAGTCCCGCCTCAGGCATGAAAGCCGATTGCGTGACTTTGGACCAGCCATTCTCTCTCTGTCCATTACATCAGGCTCAGGCGACAAGCCAATTGACCAATTCCTGTCCCTACCAAAGACATAACACTCACTGATCTAAAAAAAAAAAAAAAAAATGGGGAGGAAGAAGCAAACAATGAGCAAATCTTCAAAGCTACAACCCTACTTACTTTAAAAAGTAAACCGAAATAATGCCACGGCAGCACAGATCTTAACTCAAGCCCTCTTAACACCCAGTTTATTTTCATAACGTTTTCCAAGGAAGTGGACATTGTTCCCAAAAGGGGAGATCATTGTTACCCTTTTAAAAATTGTAATAAATTCTAGGATCCCATAAAGAGGAAAAGAACTTTTATTTTTAAGATCCCCATTATTTTCATTGGATTGCATAAAAATGCGAGGACAATCTACTCATCTCACAACTGCAGGAGAAGGAGCTACACTACAGAGAAAAAAAAACATAATTTTCCAGTCCTGTTTCCATTCAGACTTTCCTTCCAGAACTCACTTTTTTAATGTCTTCATAAAAGAGATACAGGACATGGTAAGTATCTTTTGCTTTCCACCAATCCTTCACGTGATTGTACCAAGAGCCCCAGGCCACTGGAAAATACAGAACAGAGAAAGGTAAGAAGCCATCAAGTTCAGAGTCAAGATCCCAGCGAGATGCACAACGACATTGTTTTCAAATATTTGGGGCTTCCTGCTCTTTCCCATTAATACCCTGAAAACGTTGCAAAATGACCCCCATACAAGCGAATATTTGTAGCTCTTGGTTGAACTGTGGGGCCCTTGTTGCTTTCTGAGCTTGTTTTCTTGCAAACTAGATACAAAGGGTTTTGCAAATCCTATTCCATGTAGCACTGATGAAGTTACCTAGTTGGGTAATGAAATGTCTCCAAGAAAACAACCAAGCTCAGAGAGCACCAAGGATCCCGGGAACTGCTTCTGCCATTATCAACCTGCCTTCGCTGCAGATGCAGATTTTCCCTCTAGTGCAGGGCTTTTCAACCTTTTCACCCATTGTACCACTTTTAGGATATGGCAATATCCGAGTACCACCAGTCGCCTAGCAAGGTGTCAAAAACTTGATGACCCCCCCCCAAAAAGGAAAAAAGTGATGAAGTACAAGTAGTCCTTGACTTACAACAGTTCACTTAGTGACTATTCGAAGTTACAATGGCACTGAAAAAAGACCCCCCCAAGCCACAGCCAAGCAAGACACCTGCCTGCCCGCCCGGCCGCACTCTTCCTCCTGTCCGAGGTTTTCAATGTTGTGAACATTTCTGTTGAGGATTGGCAGCAGGGGTGGGGTGGGGGTGTTTGGTTTTTATTCCCCCCGTCTGCTGGGTGGTTGCAGCAGGTTTTGGTCACTTCACATGACCCTGGGACACTGACCGTCATAAATATGAATCAGTTGCCAAGCATCTGAATGTAAATCACAAGACCCTGGAGAGAGGCTGCAACATTCCAGCTGATCGGCGCTTCTTCTGGGCTCAGCAGAAGCACCAGGATCAGTGCTGAGCTCCAGCTGGAGCCTGGCACTGATCCTGATGCTTCCACTGAGCCCTGACAGCCCCGAAGAAGCGCTGATCCTGGCACTTCCGCTGAGCCCTGGCAGCCCTGCAGCTCCAGGCATCTCTCGCTCAGGCTTGTCCTGTGCTGCCACCGATTCAGCTCATTCCCCTCCCCCGCTACCACTTTTCTGGGATGGTCACGTACCACCTGCCAGGTGCCAATGTACCACAGGTGGTACCCGTACCACTGGTTGAAAAGCCCTGCTCTAGTGCAATTTACTTTCTTGTAGCACAAGGCTTACTAATAATGCACCTAATAATCATTTCCCGCATGGAATCTGCCTTACTGAAATCCCCCCCACCTCCCAATTACTTGTTCCTTTCAAAAAAATAAACGAGAAAGGGGTGCTGACTTACCTTTGCCTGCCGTGAAAATCTCCAAATACTCCTCCCATGTTCCAGGATGGGGTAACGTTTTGTTCATTCTTTGGAAATGGAAACAGGACACCAGGCAATCTTTGGGATTTCTTGCCATATAAATGAACTGAGGCAATAACCGCAGGGGGGAAAAAAACCAGTCCTGGATTAAGCAATAAGTAAAAATAGCACTGTGCTTGAGTGTTTCAAGGCCTTGGCAACTCTGAGTTGGCCTTAATCCAGCCCTGACAAGAAATCTTTGCCCATGTGACAGCAGATAAGAGATGTATTCTCCCCCTCCCCAAAGGTATACAATTGACCATCTTGGTAAGAAGGATTTCACTCCATTCCCACAAACAAATGGGAATGTGGAGGAATTGCTCCACTTAGAGCCCAACCTACTTCACATGACTTTTTTTGTGGCAGGAGCAGTGGTGGGATTCAGCCAGTTCGCACCACTTTGGCAGAACCGGTAGCTAATTTTTTTGT